ACGGAAGGTCATTTGGGATGGGGAGAGGGGAGGGGTGGGATAAGCCCTATGTGTGTGCGTGTGTTCGGGTGAGACTGATTGTGATTGGAGTGTTGGTGGTGATGTTGATGATCAATTTGGGACCAGGGTAAGTGGAGAGCTTGAACCAGTCGCTTTTGTGCACATAGTTTTGGTGCGAACAGGCGAATGCCTATCGCCTCAGCGGTGGTTAATGTGTGTAAGCGCACTGCTTCAGAGGTCGGCATGCGCTTTGCACCTTAAAAGTGCAGTGATGCTACAAGACTAGGTGTCGTCTACCTCGACGCTGATGCTTGGTGGTCAAGAATTACCTGTAGTGGAATTTTTCATCTACTCAGGTAGCTGCGTTTCAAATGACAGTAGCATAGTCAATGAAGTAACCGCCCGCATTTCCAGGCTCGAGCAGCTTACGCAAGACTGAAACGCCTTTTGTGCAGACGCGATGTTTCTTCGAAACTGAAAGGTCGCGTATACTGCGCCAGTGTGTGGTCAGTTCTGCTCTATGGTTGCGAGACCCTAAATTTCTGCCTGGAAGATATTCGTCGTCTAGAAACCTTCGACTGCCAATGTTTACGTATTTTGGCGCGGATTGGAAGGATCGAGTGTGTAAGTAACTCCAAGGCAAGACGTCGCGTATTTGGTAATGATTCGATGGAGAATTCGTTGTCCCATCAAATTCAGATTAGTTGGCTTCGCTGGTTAGGATACGTATTGTGCATGCCCAACAATCGTCTACCGCACAGGAAGAATTACGTGGTCATAGTTCGGGTTACATTTGACCAGTTGGACTTCGTCGACCAAAGGGTCATACTTTGACGATTATGTCGTCTATACAACACTCGATCGGAATGTACGGGCCAGCTGGGTGATGATGTTCCTGGTACTGCTTTTCTATTATGTTGTTCATGGGGGTCTCACTGGTGGCCGTAGACAACAAAGACGGCATAGAATGAAGTGCGTTTAAAAGGACCTCCTCTCAGTTCAGACTTCTGGACTTTAATACTAACAAGATTGCTTGCCAAAACGGTCCGTTCAGGCGGTCCACTTGACCATTGGCCTGTAGACCATAGGCCGTAGTTCTGCTGGTTGCGGCGCCTTTGGAGTGCAAGAAGTGCTTGAGTTCTGATATCAGAGAGGAGACGCGGTCTGAGTGGATGTAGATCGGCATTCCGAAGACAGAGAAGAGTTGACAAAAGCATTTGATTGTTGTTGTGGAGGATATGTCTTGACAGGCAAATACGCAAGAAAGTCGGGAGTATTCGTCGACGATCATCAAGAGACATCTATTATTTGTGCAGAATGGCAGCGGACCCTTGAAAGCTGTACTTAGTCTTTCGAACGGTTGGGTCGTCTTGATTGATGGTTTTTTCACTGGGTTTAATCTCGGCACATACTTGGCACTGGGAAATTACGCGTCTGACCTCATCCACGGAATACGGCAAGTTCCGAGAACGGATGATGTGATACATACAGGTTATCCCCGGATGACAAAGTGCCTCGGGTAACTCCTTTAACACGGGGTCTATGGCTGCTGTACAATAGCCGCGTCGGCCGATAAATTATCACATCCCGATCGGTAGATGACGTCGTATCGGAAGCATCATAGTTCAACTCTTCCGCGCTGAATTTTTTCGTTTTTTTATTTTGCCTTTTGAGCTCATTGTTGAACATGAATGCAACTGATCGTTGATCGGTGACCAGCTTGAAAAATGGTTTCCCAGCAGACGGTGTCTCCATTTTCTCAGTGCTTCCACTATGGCGTAAGCCTGTTTTTCGACCGCGGAATGATGCCTTTCGCTTAATGTTGTTCTAGAGAAAAATGCCACCGGTCTACCGCTTTGGTTGAGGGTGGCAGCGATGGCAATATCTGAGGCATCTGTCTCGACAACAAGAGGCGTTCCGGGCTCCATAGTGACTACTATCGCGCTTTTAAGTTTTTGTTTTAACTTTTCAAAGCATCGTGTGACGGGTTCAGAGAGTGGGAATGATCGGTTTTGTACCAGCGGGTTGGTCTTGTCTGAGAAGTGTGATATTCTTTGTGAGTAATATGCAGACATTCTTAATGCGCGCTCCTGTTGTTTCACATTTCGAGGTGGCGGCAGGTCCGTTAAGGGTTTTCAGTCTTTCACGATCAGGTCTAACAGCTCCCTTTGAAACTTCAAAACCCAAAATGTTTATTTGTCCCACAGACGTGATACTCTTAGCTCGTTAAACATGAGACCATATCTCTTGGCCACATCCAAAAATCTCTGTAGATTTCGATTGTGTTCTGTCACATCCATACCGCAGATTATTACGTTGTCCACGTAGGCGTAAGTACCGGATAGTTGTTCCTTGTTGATTATGTTATCCAGAGTTCGCTGGAAACATACTGCGCCATCGGTCACTTCGAATGGGATGCGGCGGAACTGATATAGCTTTCCACAGTCCTCAAAGGCGGCGTATTTCTTTTCTTCTGTTTCGATGGGTATTTGGTGGTAGGCATTTTTCAGGTCTAGGGTATTGAATACATCAAAACGCGCAATCTGTTCAATGAAGTCGTTCATGCGGGGAAACGGATACGCATCGAGGTACGTGAATCAATTTATGGTTTGACTGTAATCCACAACCATACGTTTCTCATGTCTGATTAGAGGTTACTAAAACCTGGTCCCGCCAAGGAGACCTCGACGGTTCGATGATTCCTGCATCTAGTAATTTCCGGACTTCGGATTGTATGAATAGTTCGTCTGGTGTTGAATGGCGTCTGGACCTAGTTGTGATAGGCCGGCATTCGGGTGATAAGTCCCCCAAAAGGGTTTGTGGTTCTATTTTCGCAGCGAGAAGCCCGCGCACGGAAAATATGGGCTTGTCTCCATGGAATAGAAGTTCTACTCGTTTGTGTAGTCGGAGAAAATCGTGGCCTAGCAGTACATCTGCGCATAATCTTTTCATTACGGATAGTTTGGTATTTTCATAGCTCGAATCTTTGTATACTATCGAAATCAAGCAATGGCCCTTGACAGAACCATGGACGCCGTGGTGATCCGATTTCGTGAAGGTATCATCTTCCAGTTATACTTCTGAACGACGGCCTGAGATACGTAACTCTCGGAGCTGCTTGTATCAGTGAGCGCCTGTAACGAGACATTGTTGACCGTTAGTCGTGTAATTGCTTTAGACAGACAATGAGGAGCTGCAGCGACTGTTACTGAAGAGAGGAGGGAATCTACCGCTGATGTAACTGGTTTCGTGGGCTGTGAAGCACGACAAACTCACTGATAGTGTCCCTTCTTTCTGCAAGCTTTGCAGACAGCATCTCGAGCGGGACATTTTGGTCGTGGGTGTCTATCAAATCCACAAAAGTAGCAATGAGAGCTACTAACAGCCCTTACCGGTTCTGTCGCAGCCTCTCGGTTGCATGTTTCTACTGCCGGCTGTACTGCATTGGTAGACACGGAGCAGGAGAGATTGTTAGTCAGGTTTTGGTACGATACATCGACGGCCTTTTGGAGATGGAGAGTTTGTTCCTCGAGCAGCCTCTGGCGAATGTGACTAGATTGTATTCCACGAATTGAGGCATCTCTAACCAATTCATCGCGATATTCTTCTGTCGAAACCGGCCTGCATCCACAGTCTTTAGCGAGGTCCATTAATAGTTCTAGAAACTGCTGCAGAGACTTCCCATTTTGTTGAACTGCAGTAGACAAAACTTGTGCTTCTGGTATATGGCAAAGTGTAAGCGGAATGACCACACTTCACATCCCGCGGTCTGTTGATATTGTGAGGATATAAAAAAGCTATCCTTGTTTATCTAACGATGCCCTCTCAACGAAAAGTGACTGCTAACTAGTGCCTCAGCTTCTTGGAGCCATAGATGAAAGTTGGTGATTTATGAAAGTTAAGTAGAATATGCCCCAAGGGACAAGAGATTTTATCAGTACAGAGGTTTTACCCTTTTCAGATAACCTTACACTCTGGAGTTAACTTCTGCTGGTCATCGTTACTAAGGTATTTAATAAAAAATGGGTAACTGAGTTTTCTGTCATATGCAAGTAGATCTAATCAAGTTTATGACAACGCTTCTCATTCCTGTCACTACATTCACTGATTGAACAACGTTATAATGAGATCCTCAGTCCTGCGTTTCATTCAATATTTACTGTTTCTTGAAACGAATTTGAACTCACACCAACCTGTAGTACCATTTTGCGTTTTTTCCTTGCTTGCAATCTTTCAGTTACCCGCTTGTTCAACCAGCGAAGAAAACTAGGAGTAGTATCGAAATGCAGAGGTGCAGGATTCGCGTATACCCGATCTGCACAGGTCACTTTTTGGGCCATTCGTGTTTGAAATCTAACTGGATTTGATACGGTCTGATCTATGCTGAATTCGATTATTTTTTGATTAAGGATATCGGCCGTTGCACAAATTCAATCACAAAGTGACCGTCTTTTTTAATTTTCAGAGCTCTTTTTGCAAAATGCGATTTCCCCAACTATTCGCTGAAAGGTTGATGTTTCAAACTGGATAAAGTTACGGTGCATATTTGGTACGAGATTAGTGTTTGAAGTTGCTTTTGGCCGGTAACACTTGCCGGGAGTACTACATATCCTCCGCTTTGCCAGTGATTTCGCCAAATTCCAATGGAAGACCTTCCTGTGGAGCTATTACAGTACATTTTCATGCTCTTGTCTCCGTGTTCCGACCTGCCTTCCGTCATTCAAGTGTGCCGGCGTTGGCGGAATGTCGGTTTAGAGGTCATGAAATTGCGCAGAAATGCAATTGCTAGTGCTTATCGCCTAGAAGCACCTTTACGTTGGCAGGTTCCTAAAGCTAGCATCCCGGCTCCCACGAAGCGCTTTGGTGCAACCGTTCTCTACCACGATGGATACGTTTATGTTTTTGGAGGTGCCACAAGCATGTTTACAACATTCAATGATCTTTGGCGTTATGAACTTAATACGCACACTTGGAAACGCCTAGTTGTTGAAGGTAACTGTCGGTTGTTCTATAGTGCCATTATCCTTCCATATGGTTTGTCGTAAACCATCTCTAAGTGCAAAAAACGTTATTAATTACCTTACCGCCGTTTGTTCAATCTACTGTTATATACCTTATTTGTAACTCAACATGAGTCTTAAAATGTCAGCCGTATTCTTATAGTGCGCTCCGAAATGATCAAGACAGCCACTCTTTTCTGTCTGTTGGATAACAATAGAGGTGGAAAGTTCCTTTATTTGATGAAAAGAAACCCGAAGTCATTATCTATTAATATGTCAACATTAGGCATAAAATTGAATTCAAAAATCTGATTGAAAAATGTCAAAACAGAATGAGAGATCACTATAGAGACACTCCGGCCATGGTAATGACACAAAACATCCGCGGTTCGCACCCTGTTTTCTGATGGTTTATAATGATTCGTTAGGGCTGATAGGTGACTATCTGTAATTAGCTGCGCTTTTTAGCCTGTCAACATATTCAAAGCTTTCACGCCCAATACCGCTGGACTTAAAGAATCTGATTATCAGTTTATCTCGTGTTACTAGGGGCAATATGTCACAAGTGCTCGCATTCAAGCGGTTGCACATGAACCTTTTGCATATTGTTTCACTCGGAGGAAAATCAAAACGTTCGTTTATCGTTGCCTACAGACCTCTAATTCTACCCCCTCCCCAAATGTTTCAAACGCATCTAAAACAATTATCAGTGACAAAGCGGATAAATCGAGGCTCGTTTGTGTAATATCAGTAAGAACTGGGCAGTGGACATATAAGCAAATCCCCTTACTGAGGTACGGGAATGACGTAGGTAATATATTTGAATCATGCCTCGATTATAGTAAGCCGAAAGGCCCGTTTGTCAGACTGCGAGATGGGGGTTGATAGNGGGGGGGGGGGGCATTTAATGATGAGTCAACGGTTGCCTTCAATAAATCAGATAATTTGCATCAGTCTTGGGATACTACCGGGGAGAAAGATACCTTATTTAGTGGTCAACATGACATGCAATAACCTGTGGTGTGGATTGCTTTCCCGTAATCAGTTTAACTCAGTTGATAGCCCTGAAGAATAAGTGTAATACACTTGAACGTTTTCTTCTACCCTTTATGATAGGAATATAGGTGGTGTATTATCTACTGAAAGGCATAAAGTTGCATCACAAACATCCTACGTTACAAGGGCATAGTTTCTGCATCGTGGATTCCATATCTCGGAGTAGTCCAGTTGCAGTCCTCTAAGTTGAACTGAGAACCTTTGGTAAGTTTTGATCGGGCGAGTATAGCAAAATCACAAAATTCGTAGTTTCTTTGATAAACTAAAGGATGCTTTGAAAACAGTCGGGAAACTGTTAACACAATAGACTGATTGTATGTAGAGTGTTTTTGACGTTTTAACTAAGAAAGAGTAACAATGTGATTCTACACTATACCATACTACCACTAACGTACTTTGCTACACTCAACTAAGCGGAGACATTGGTCTTAGTGATGCACTTTCCATATACTTTAGTTACGCCGTACGTGAATACGTTGGTAATTAGTATTGTCATAGTAACAAAACAAAAAGGTGTTTTTTCCGATTCACTGAGACTTCGGTGATCACTGTATTCAACTGAATAACTTTCGTAGCCTTATAATTTTGGAGTGCACTGTAAGAGTAAGAAATTTCTAAACGTTTCTTGAAGTCGTTTCTCATTGTTTATGCCAATGTTGTGAACTATGTAATGGCTGTTCATATTCTGCGTGCGATTCACTCGTGGTAAGTTGCACGAGTCCACTGAATGAATTTGTTCGTGTATAGGATACAGTTGGACATAAGGGCTTTATACACGCCAGTGATTTTTTTTCGGTTGAGATTTGTACTCTGCGTATTTAAAAAAAATACTTATCGGATTCCTAAAAACGAATTTTAGGACAGATATTGGACCAGATTTTAAGAAACAACGAGGCAGGTAAGCTTTGACGNCGAGGCAGGTAAGCTTTGACGAGAGTTAGAGAAGTTGCGTTCTGTTGTTGCATCCTGGCTTCCAGCTTGGGGCTTTAAATATGCACATTGTCGTTGACCAGACACAATGGGGATATGACATTGGATGGAAGTCTTTGGCATCTTTGCACTTGTGCACTTGTGATCCCAACCACGAGGCGGAAAAGCACAAAAAAATCAAAATCGCTAGCATTAAATAAAGAAAATTTTTCCTGCCCACTCGATCCCGATTGTTTATTTCTTGTTCTTGGTTCCTCTTATACCATAGTCATTTTATGGCGTCGTACTGGTTAAGATTAGTACATTTAACTTTTATTTGGACCATGGGTGTACTGTTACTAAGCCCAGTATCCTTACTCTTTTCAGGCGAGTTGCCAACTCCTCGCGCTCACGCCAAAGGTGGTTTCATCGGACAAACGTTATACCTGTTTGGCGGTTGTCACAGTTTCCACTTGCCCGGAATGTACCATGCGGTGAGTAGCTTTTGGCGTTACCTAAAGCAATTTAAAATCTATTGTTGGACCAATTTTTGTTAGCATTCACTTTTTCCATTGTGGAAAAGCCGGAAGCTTCGATCGGTGACTAAAAGTGAAAAATCCGAACAATTTTTTTGCCCCATGGGGCAGAACATGGATAATGTTCTTGTACCTGTTCGAGTCCTGCCTGGGTCTCGAATCTTTTTGAAATTGGACTGTACAGAGAGGGTGCGAACTGTTTGTCCGTTCATAGATTCCGTATGTAGCTTGCACTATTGTGTTCGTGTTTTTAAGTAAAAGCGAAAAAATCCGGGATTTCCCGGTTGTGTTATTGTCCGCCATACTATAATCCTTCGCCTTCTGTCAAAGCTTAGGCATATCTTTCGCAGGCCCCTCGCTCTACCGTGAAGTAGTAGTAGTAGTAGTTTTCTGGTTCTGGAATTAACTCTCTATTCTTGAACGCATCCTCCTCCTCTTTTCTGTGTCTTATCGTGAAACTATACACTTCGCGTTTGCTTCCGTCGTCTGTTTATATCAACGATTTACCTTCCCTTATGGACGTTTATAAACTAACCAAGCCATCATGGATTTGTCTTATGTGCGCTCACATAGCCAGCGTCAAAGTGCTATCGAAGGACTTATTCTGTCGAAAGGGTCAAATGATTTGTTCAGACATGGTAAGTTACATAGGTTTCATGGGTTAAATGGTGTATTTATTTAAAATGTGTATAAACACATCCGAAATCCGTCTATTCGACATAGGAGCAACACATACTGCATTTTATTGTCAGTTTTACTATATAAGCTAAGATAAAAACACTAGTGATGTTTGAGGGTTGATGTCCTCGTTGTGTCAATTGTGTTTGAATGGACGAGAAAACAGACAGTACTGAAGTTAGATATTGAGCACGAATTAGTCACGTGAGAAAGCTGCATCGAGTGTTCTACTCTTTTTGCCGGAGTCGTCTGCGTAGTACTTTCTGGAGTATGAAGAATATTCAAGGCGGATAGACTTTGGTGTGACAGAGACTGTACTGAACGGCATAGTTTGAGTAAGAATGCACGTATTCGGTCTAGGAGACCCACTCAGTTTGTGACACCCTC